GAGCTTCATTTTTGGCTCTTTCCCCGTCGCTGCAGACGAGGATATCTGCAGCAGACGGCACTTGAGACGGCACTTCACTACTTCATGTTTTTAATGTTATCCCTAAACTGTGTTATATAGTTAGCAACTTTGTAGTAAGAGGGAAACTTTAGTTAACCAGATCCAGAGGAAGACTACCTGCATTGTAAAACTTTATTGACTTTACGGGCTGATCTGAGCATTTATACAAGGTAGAATCAAGCTGAGCAAGAAACGATAAAATAAAAACAGATTACATTAGACATTTCTTGATAAATGCTAAACTATATTGAAAGGACTTGTATAAAAACAAAGGCATTAACTATAGTATTTATTTCTAGCATAAATAGTTTGAGATGTTGCATCAAGCGACAACACTACATACTGTATCAATTCACTTTTGACAGACTTGAAGCGTCATCTACTATCACAAATTATAGCAACAACAAAGTTTACTAGACTACTTAACTACATGCCAGAGGCTCCGAGCATCATTATTTTATGACATGTCTGTATTGGTGGAGCTGAAGTTGGCTGGCTGACCTGCCTCATACAGCCGCTCTAACCACTGAAGTCGTAAGGAAGTACTCCTTGAATTTTCTCATGAACATTATAACAATATAACGCATGCCTGAAGTTCATTATTGTAATTAAAAGGGCAAACATCCCTAACATATCTCTCATCTAAATTAGAGGAGCAAGAATTGAGAACGGTCAACACTCCAGTTCTGATAGCACACAACATAAAACTGAAATACTTTAATGTGTTATAAGATAAGAAACTTTTCCCGATCTTCGTACAAGTTATACCATGTAGTGAGTAATGCAAAACAAATCAACCCTACAAACACTTTTGGACGTTTCAATTTGTTCAATCCCAACCCTGCCAACTTTATAATGATACAGATGAGAGGTGCAGAGGAGGAGTACAATCCACTGAAGAGGTCTGATTGAAAAAAGGCTGATTGATTGTCAAGGCAAGATCAAAAGCGTTAGACTGGAGTTTAGTGACAAAGAAACAAAAGTAAAAGACGGAAATTGCAAAATGAAGAGCAGCTAAACAGCACAGAGCACACAGACATGCAGTTTTGGACATTAGCATACGGTAAACAAGGAGCGTGGTGACAAGACTTTGGGGGAAACCGGGATAAAACATGGTGCAGTGAGTGAATACATTCTGTGACAACTATAAATACTCAAATTGAATCCACAAGTATCTTCCGGCAATGGATGTGACAAATTATTTGCTTCATACCAGATTAAGCAACCATTCAAACCAATTAAAGTAGTATTCATTACCCCTGCTGTAAACCCTGTTAGGTCGAACTTTTTTCATGAATATTTGCTCTTCTACTTCTGAAAGTACTGACCAGAAAACCTCCAAAATAAGTTTCCTATAATAGTCAAATATTTACTTATGCAGCATTGAGGTACGGACATAGGTATTTTCTAGAGATTACCTTAATAATAATGTAAATTTATGATTCTAAATGTACAATAGGCTGGTGACTGCTGATGATAATGCATATATGATTACACTGCTCTATGGGCTAGTAAACTCTAAATGTTTAATTAAAAACACCCCCAGATGATGCTCTTTAAGATGAACAGCCATCAAAAGTAGACAATTATAAGATAGACTTTATTATCTGCTAACAGTCAAGATAAATGGAATGTGTGGATAAGGGAGTCTCTCATTTAATGTCAAAAGTATGAAAGTTTAAGTCTAAAAGTTACAGTAATGGTATTCTCATTATGTATTATGATTATCTGCACTGAAATATCTGTATTTGAGAAACCCTGCAAACGAGCCTGCTTGTATGTTACCATTTTACCACATCTACTTAGTGTCAGAATAATAAGCAGGATCTTATGAGCCAAATGTGATTATGAAGCTTTTAAAATACGGCTGCTGTTTGCTGAGGTGGACTTGATGTGAGAGCATTTTACCTGCCAAATCAGCCATTTCATCCACAAATTACATACTGCAAACTAAGACTCCTTTTAAGCAGTTTTCAGCACAGCTACAGAAACTCATGTGATGTTACAAAGCCTTAGATTAGCTGCTGCTTGAATGAACAAACCCTTGGACTCGGGACAATTCTGTCAAGTGGAACAAAATTAGCCTAAATATTACACAGTCCTAGTATGGACAATCAGTAATGAGTGGATGGATGGATATTAATATACAATGAAAACTCAAAAAAAAAAAAAAAAAAATTGAGCACAAATACAACACAACATAAACACACTACAGCACAAGTAAAAGCACTGACAGTCACACGCACATGCCAGCACATGCGTTGGTAAAACAGCCGAAGTAAGCAGTTTAAAGGCATTTGTTAAGCATTCACCATTCAGTCTTAATATGTTATCCATAAAGCAGGTTAGGAGTCACAGCAACAGGGCCTCACGTACGCAGAGGGGCTACATGCATTTTGGTTTGAATGTACAAGGCCACATTAGTAAAACGCAGAGCTTAATATTAGGCACGGCAACGTCACAGGCCATGGTTGTAAAAAAAAAGAAGAAAAAATAGAAAAAAACGGAAGCCTTATTTTGTGTTCATTTTGGATATTAACATTATCTAGTTTTGGCATTTCAGGTTTAATATTCAGAAAATATATGGATACATCTTGTTAAGTGACACCAGTGGAAAAACACAATCGACAATATTTACGTTCAAACCCAAGATGGCGTGGTCTAAATGAAGGCACACCATTGGCTGGAGAGAAGAACTAATTTAGAGGCAATACTTGGCTCTGGTCATGAATTATTATTGGAAGAATCTGACATATTGAACCAAGTTTGAGACAGAAGTGAGACTGAAGGAATGGATGGACGTGTTTGTGCCAGTTTGGGCTTGAAGTTCTGCATATTAGTGTGGGTGTGCTAAAAACAACTCAGACTATGCTTTTAATGAGGGAACTATGTTGTAACATGGTTAAAGGCTCACATTTATTCACTCCCTTTTGAATATAGGATACCATTGAAATTGATTGTTGTTTTGTGTGTGTGTCTGTACATTTGGAATATTTTATATACGTGCAAATAAGTGCTTACAATACAAAAATAAAAACCATGAGGATTAGGATTTCACTGGGATTGAGGAGAATGCAGTTTAAAATGTAAATTTTTTTAGTCATTAAAACCTAATCCTTGTCTACATGATAAGTACATTTTTTCATTCTACGTCAATGATCCTGATTTTCTTGTACTTATCTGTTTAAGGTCCAAACATTGGTCAGAAAATGAATATTATCCCAAAATGGTCCAACTTGTTATGTAACTTATGCAACTGCGTCCAGAGGGCCTTTTGTAGAGATGTGCCCGTCTTTCTTTATCGAGGTCATATTATCCTCAGTGTTGTTGTGGAGCTACATGTCTTTGGGGAGTGCTGCGCTGTAGTTAAGGGCTATGGCAGAAACGAGACGAGGATAAATGGGCTGGACATAATAGAGCCGGAGAGAACACAGAGAGTGGGGAGCCATACTAAGGCGGGGTCATTAAGAGATACTGTCTTTCCGAATGTCCCTCGCCTCAACATTATAAATATAAAAAGCCCCTTTCCCCACTTTTAGATTAATGTATTTATTGATGTGTTTCTGCTGGTACCTGAATTTCACTATCTATCTATGTATCTAAAAATAAAACACTAGGCCATAGACTTTCACTGGACTTTTCCAATTGCCTTAGACTTTTGTTTTTAACTTGGTGTAACCGGTAAGTTGAATAAAGAAGCCAGATTGGTTGCCACATGCCTGATATGAGCTTTTTCCTTTGAGTTACTGCCCAGATGGGAGCAGGAGCAGAGCCGACGTCACGACCATAGCACAGAATTGTCACAGGACACAATATTCACATCAGGCAGCAAACGAGAAACCAGGATAAAAAATATAAAACACATGCCAAGACACTCAATCAGCTTCTGAGATTCAGAGAAGGCTCAGAAAAGACACGAGTGGGTGAGAGGAACTGGGCTGGTACAATTTATAATAAAGAACAGGTCATGAGTCAGAATGAAACGCCTCCAACGTGGTTGGAAATCCGTTTACACCTGAGATAGATGCATTATGCAAAATCTATGACGTTATGCGTTTACGTTTCTCATGTATTATACGAGTGTGGCAGATGCGATCCATATTAGAATAAAATTATTGTCTCCGGTGATCGATACATCACTATGGGGTTTCACGTTAAATGGCAGTTTATCTGTTCACACAATTCAGAAAATAGATTGAGAAGTTTCACTGGTTTTTGATTTTTTGACGGTACTCATGTCCCAAATGAATGGATTTTAGTAAATGGTTTAATTAACTTTAGAATCAACATATGTTCATCTCAAACAAGTAAAATATCACCTTTTTGAGGATTGGACGAGTCAAATTTAAGACTCACAGAAGACTACAGACATTGAGACCATCAAAACCATCCACTAAAATAACAAAACAGAGGAGAAACATCCTCTTTTAATACTAAGAACTAAAATGAAGCACATTAAAGCTGGGGTACCTAGCTTTCAGACCAGAAAAGAAAAGAACTATAAAATCCATCTAACTCCAAAAAGGGTTCACGTATTTTTTTACCTCTGTTAAATGTTTGGATCAAAATAAAGGACCACCTTCACTCAACCGATCAGCTTAGGATAAAAGATATAATGTTTTCCAAAAAAATACATTGGAAAGCAGCATGTTTGTTCTCAATGTAAAAATACAAATGAAAAAGCCAGTCACCCCAGGTTTAAATTAGACGAAGGTCGACCTGCACACACGTGTTTGGTGCTATCACATCTCCAAACCAAAACAATGTGTATTTTGCAGAATAGTTCACTTCTATTGGAGGTTGGGTCTTTACGGCTGCGTCTACACTGTTTGTTGTACCAGCCGAAGCTCGCTCTCTCCCACACACAGCCTTTTGGTGCTTGTCTGCATTTACAGATTTACATTTTTGTGATTTTAGTTTTACAGTGGACTTGTACTTACCCCATTCCACTCCACGCCCATACTCACTTCCTCGCCAGTCTCAGAGCCGCTTTCGTACTTGACATTGCTCAGACTGTCGCGGCTCCTCCTCCTCTCGCCGTCAGAGTCCCTCAGGAGCTCCACCACACGGCTCGGGTCCAAACCCTGAGCCAGAAGAAATATACGGACATCCAGGATCAGAAAGAGTCATAACGAGGCGAAGACAATACAATGACGATGAGTGCGCTGTTACATGATCATGATTAAGAGCAATATTCATGGAATTTGTTAACCAACTTTTCATTTCAATACTGTAAAAAATAGATACTGTGTTTTGCATACTATTATTACATTATCTCTTATATTGTGCACTCTACAAAAAATTTTAGTTCCATTTCCTGCAGTCAAGGATGTGAATATTGAGAAAGATGCTTATAAACCATGCTAACCAATGCTAACCTGTAAGCTCAATGAAATAGGGAGTGCTCATACACACAGCTCTCATTGACCTACATTGAAAAGTAAACTCATCTTGCTGTGTAACTGTTTGTGTCACACCCACCATTTTGGCTTTATAAATCTGAGGTTCACTGCTTTGTATGATCTTGGTTATATTAGTGTGTTTTTGATTATTTGTCTTTGTAAATACAGTCATCACCCCTAAGAACCAATCAGGTGCCTTCTGTTCCCAAGTGTGAACAGACTAGTGCTGGTTCTGATTGGCTCATGGTTGCTAGGTTGTTGCTACCCATGAATTGAGCTCCAGATTTCTGCCCATGGAGCCAGTTTGAGTTAGATCTAATCAGCTTCTTTTGCGATAAGGCTATAAATATGGCTGATAGATAGATAGATACTTTATGGATCCCCGTAGGAGAAATTCAGGATGGTCTATGTCACATGTGTCAAAGTCAAGGCCCGCGGGCCGGATCTGGCCCGCGAATGAATTATCTATGGCCCCCAGGACATTGCCTGCCATTGAGGCAATGTATTGACCCCTTAAGCTCGCTAGCGGGGGCCAGCAATCTGTTGGCAATAGCAGATGTATTTTGAACTTCGTAAGCCACAAGCTATATATCATTTTAAAGCTTATTTTCTCAGCTATATTTATATGTAAGTGTAAACGATATCGGACTTTGCATTAAAAAGATATAACGCATATATGGGCACAAAATAAATCACGTCTGTATTTGTTTTTTTTTACCTTTCGTCTTCTGCTGCTCCAACAAATTAAACTTTCCCCATCCTTGCTTAGTCTTTCTCTCCGTAACTGTTCATTGAAGAAGAATATCCACTTGTATTTCCCAAAGTATAATCCATTCTGCAGATTTAATCAAAAAACGCCCCGAAAAGAGGTCCAGACTGCTCTTTTACATTTCACCAAGTTTGAGCTTTTTTTTTTTTTTTTTTACTATTTTCATGTTCTCAGATGTCTATTACATCTAATATGTACAGTATGAGGATTGGCTTTAGAGCATATTTTATCAAGCCAGGTGTCACCAACACTGCCTCTGGATGTTGAGAAACATTGAACCAGTCCGGCCCTCGGCGCGTAGCAAACATTTTTTTTTGGCCCTCTGATGTGTTTGACTTTGACATGCCTGGTCTATGTCATTACAAATTTATGTTGAGCAAAAAAACAACTGAAAAGTCTTGACGAGATTTGAAATTGTAATGAGACTGGTTCTTTTAAAGCGGGTAATATGGGAACTGACTATTTTGATCATTTTTCCCCCTCTTTGCAGCAGTGAGTATTAAAAATTAAAATAATTTAGCTCTTCTTCTGAAAGGGTAGAGTAGGAGCAGCTTAAACAACTTCATTTACCTTCTTAAGCTCCAGCAGAATTCGCTTTTCCTGTTGGTGGTATAATAACATTTGTGATAATAAATCTGACTTTACCCCTTTGTGCACCAAGGATTGTCAGTCCACCTCTGTTAGTTTAATCCATATTTGTTTCCTTTTAGTAATTTTACAATATTAGTTTACTGCTTGGGAAAAAAACCTTTGCGAAACTGCTCCCAGGTGACGCCAGAACAGAAAAGACAGGAAGCAATGAAATGAAGGTGAAAGCTACAGAGGACCTACAGACAGAGATTCTCAACTGGTTAAAGGTGGTTAAAGATGCACTATGGAACATCCATTTGCGGAGAATGTTCCATGCTGGCAATAAATGTATTCACTAAATGATACAAAAATCTTAATAGAAAAAATGTCATTATTGCATAAGAAAGACCCTTGTGAGTCAGTGTTTAGGTACTAAGCTAGGTACACTTCAATTAATTGGTTGAGAGTTATTTCCTGTTGATTGAGAATTATTTTCCTTTTGTGAAGAATCTTGAACTACAATACATGCAATGAATTGAATCTTGTTTATCAATAAAGTCTTAATCTTGTATTGAGAGATTACACTTACACAATGCTATAAATTCTAATTCCTTTTCAGGATCTGTATCTAGATGCTTTTAGGTCATTATCCACCAGTTGAGAATCCGAGGGTTAAAAGTCAAAGAGACAAACCACTTACTGTGTTGCTCTGGTTCCATGCGTTTGTAGAGAGAGGGAAAAATAACATGAGTGACACGTATAAGGGATCTGACATTAAACTGGAAACAGGATAGTCAAACACAGAGGGGTAGGGGTTAAAATCATGCAGATCAGATGGTTTTGGCTCAGACCTGTTTGCGGGAGCGGACGGCACACTCCTCCAGAGTCTCGGCTGCCTCCAGTTTGCCCTGACGACGATAGAGGGCTCCCAGGTTTCTCAGGGTGGTGTTCACCGTGGGGCTGGAACCATCACACACATTTAATATTGTACCCAACAAAACAAAAATATAGATTTTAATTATGAATAAGGCATGGTCTTGAAGAACAAAATACTGTGGCTTTTCATGTTTGAGAATGTGAAATATATGGATTCAGAATCAGAATAATTTTTATTGCAACGTAGGTAACAGGAAGTCACAGACTTGGATATGGCTTTGGCTCAGTGCAACAGTCAGATGTATAGCAGACAAAGAAAACATGTAGACGCAACAAATTACATTCATTGCAATAAACATCTCACATTGTGTGATGTAGTTGAAAGCTTGTGGTTTAAAAGAACATTTTACAGTAGAAATTCCCAATTTGAATTAAGTTAAGGCAGAAGATAGATTCTTCCTCAGCATGATAGTGAGAGGATGCTGAACAGAAGGGATATGCAAGCCTTTGGAGAGATGGAGAAACGCAATGTGTTTGTGGAAATTTGTTCCATACATCTTTTATATTACTGTAGAAGGAACCAAAACCACTCCAAGTTTTTTACTATGAGAACAATGTTGAGACACAGTTAAAAACTCAATAAGAATGATTTTGGTTAAGACTTGTTCTCCAAGCCTGGTGTAATAACACATTCTGTTGAGGGTTTTAGGACGTCTCATCCCCTACTTTTACCAAACCTGTTCTTATGTGCACTTGTCACTCCTCTGTTCGCACACAGCCCTTAAGCTCCATGAGTGAGTCCAAGATGAGAGCTGTGACTCACCTGTTGACTTTACAGGCCTTGTACCAGCCTCCATATTCCCCATAGGGAGTGTTGTCTCGGTGCTTGCCCTGGAAGTAAAAAGTACAAAACAAAATAAGAGTGAGAAGTGGTGGAGCAGCATTTTTGTTCTGTTTGTGTGCAAGTAATCTGCCATAGGGGCTTATCTATACAAGGGCTGAAGCACAGGGTCACATTTCAAAATTGACTTTATTATTTAAACAGTAAACATGTTTACAGCGGCGCATTACCTTGCTCTCCTCTCGCTCCTCAGCGTGCATCCAAATTGGCTTATTTTCAGCTATTGACAAAAATACAAAAGGGTTGTACAAAGTTGAAAACCAAAACACACAGTATTAAATCAGCTGAAACAAGAACTTTTAAATGTGTCAGTATTTGTCTAAGATAAAAGACCATCACAAGATCCCTGTGATCATGTGAACAACTGCTAAACAAATGTAAGGTAAAATGTGGATTGAGCATCACATTTTATGCATATGAAATATGTTCAACATAATTCTGCCCGTTAAAAAAACAACAAAAATGTCCATTCAGAAAAAAAACCTATAAAAAATATATTTGTATTGACCATCAAGTTAGATATATTATATCACTGAATTATTTAATTGCAATTTGAAGTTTCTGACAATTACTAATCAGTGATACAAAGAAACACAACTGTTCAAACAGGTTCCCTTCAAAATAAAGCTGAAATGGCATAAGATTATTTCTGTATAATGTACAGTACATGGTCTGCCCAGAATGATAAAAAGGAGATTTAAAGTAGATCCAAAGTAGACCAAACATATAGATGACATATATATGATGCCAATTTGTCTCAAAATCTTCATAATTGAAGATGATAAAGGTTTCTCAGGTGGAAAATATTGGGCTTTTTGATTTATAAAATGTTAGAAATAATTAGAATCAATTCTGCAGTAGATATCTGTGCTGCAAAACAAGCCAATTAATAAGCCATGTACGATTTTACAGATCTTATTGCAGTTTCTTTCTCCACTCCTTGAGCGCGGTGATGTCTCTGGGACGTCTTTAATCCGGGTCCTTACCATCCACAGAGCCAAACTCCTTCTCATGGGCGCGGGTCAGGATCTCCTTGTACAGAATCTCAGCCTCCTTGTATTTGCCCTGTTTGAGGAAGCAGGACGCCTGAGGAAGAGGAGAACAAGGGGATGGATCATTGTGTGTCCCTCTGGGAAGGGCAAACGAAAATCAGCAGCCAATGAAACTGGAGACAATCGGATCCTAGTCCATCATGACAGATGTGTGTCATCAACGTGAAAGAAGAAACCAAGCTAAGAATCACGGAGGTTAACATTTTTGTTAAACTTCTGTATAATACGTTTGCATCAATGAGTTAGAAATATATATAATAAAATATATGGTTTAAGTATAACATTATCATCATTTGTCATAAAGAATTATGTGGAAGTCTTCTCACCAGGTTGTTCTTGGTCTTGGCCACGTTGGGGTCGTCTGGTCCCAGTCTGCACTCGTAAATCTCCAGCGCGCGGCAGTAATAATACTCCACCTCCTCGTACTTTCCCTGGTTCTGACAGAGCAGAGCCAGGTTGTTCAGCTGCTTGGCCACATCCGGGTGGTCCTTCCCCAAAACCTGAGAAAAGACAACAAGGAGACATCTGTTAGGACATGGATGTGGGGCAAACAAGACGACACAAGGGAATGACAATAACATTGGCTCAACACTAGACGTCCAGGTTAGATTTCGACTACAGTCTGTGGTTGGCAAATGTAATGGACAAACCTGGTTTCAAATATAGTTCTACCTAATAAACGGTTTTATCTCCTGTATGTACCACAATATTCAAATAAAAAATGCCCAGGGTACAACCACATCAAACTGAACAGGCCTAAAACAGGACTACACAATTTCAATTTGAGGACAATTTCCCATTAAAACTGTTTGCAGATGATAAAAAGTTCTCTGCTTTATGTTTTAAAAGATTTACAAGTTAATAATTCGAAATTTCATTCACTGCACAGTAGGGCTGTAACTCACGATTATTTTGATAATCAATCAATCTGTTTGAATGTGTTGAAGTCTATATAAAGTTCAGTTAACAATTAATCAATTACTATTATGTGTTTGTTTTATGTGATGATTTGTGCCTTGTGTGATGTGGACTGTGAAGTGATTTGTGATATCCAGTGTAGGAAAAGCGCTCTATAAATAAAGACAGATTGATTGACAGAATAGTTGATGATTTAAGAAACATAGTTGCGGTGAATCGATGCAGTTCTAATGCAGTTTTTATTTAGACCTATGCCTGTATCCCAGTGCTGCAAGGCTATAGTTCAGAATAAACACATCTCTTCCTCTTTGTTGCTGTGCTCCCGTTTGCTGCAGCTGCCCTTAGATCTTATAAACGCTGCGATCGATGCTTGGATCCAGAATCACATTTACAGGAACAAACTCATTGAACCTCGCCGTGCTCCGCTGCTTCTTTCGTTCCTCTCTCAATTAAGCCTTCTGACGCAGGAAGAGCCCCGAGCCACAACTCACGACCGATTTGGGAAGATTTTTTCTTTCGCGGTGGATAATTTTAGCCGCTCTTGTTAGCGTATTCTCAGTACCTCTCAGGCAGTTCATTTGTTCGGCGCTAATTGTCGCTGAAGTGGAGCAGGGACCTACCTTCTCTCTGATCTCCAAAGCTCTCTTGCACAATGGCTCCGCTTCCTTGTACTTGCCCCTCTTTCCGTACAGAACAGCCAGGTTGTTCAGTGTCGCAGCAACCTAAAAAAAACAAAAAACAAACATGAGAAAAAAGAAAACGGATAAATATTGAAACTTAGAGAGTTGTGTTTTTACAGCAGTGGTTATGTGTGGAATGTGTGCAGGTTTAGGAAAGTAATAAGGCTGCATGATATTGGATTTAATTGTTGGTATTGGAAAATGAAAAAACATACATTGCAATATTTCCTCTACCCAAGGAAATACAATAACCAAATAACCAAAATAAGATACTGCATGGTGTTTTTGTAACAGGTCATCTCTCCTGAAACAAGAGTACTGAAAAATAACTGGATTTCTATGACAATACTTGTATAATAATGGTAATGTAGGGATAATAATGGTAACATTCAATACCAAATTATTTATCACATATTACTGGTACGTATATTAATTCCATACCAAACAAAACTCCACTGAAAAAATATCAATATAAACTGATCAATTATCACTTACAAATCATAGTGTGTCCAAGTGTAAAGGCGTGAACTAAGGTAAATTTTAAAAACAGCTTCCAAATCTTGTCATTCCCCCAAAGCCTAAACTCTGCTCCAAACCAAATTTCTACCACATGTCCACAAATTTCTACTGACTCAATTGTAATGTAAGAATAAAGAAATACAAGTTTCCACTCAAAGTTAATCTGAAAGTTGACTTTGTTTTATCTAATCTGTGAACTGCTGTTGGAATAATCAACAAATCGACAAAATCCTTGTGACGAACCAACAGCTGATCACCAGCTGCAGTGAGAGCAATGTTTTGGTCTTTATCTTCAAATAACAGTATTCAGAATGAGGTCTCTGGGGAGAGTTCATTAGTTTAACAAAATCGATTAAAATTGCACTCAATTAGAACAGAACTGTGGCATGAAATCTGTTTATGTTTAATCTGGCCTCAAAGCAAAGCAAAGCCTCCGGTCATAAAAAAATATAATCTCTTTTCATTATCACTGTCAGCATGAGAGTTAGTTTCTGATTTAAAAAAAAAATGATGCATTGCAGAGGAGAGCGGCTGTGATTGGCTGATTACAAGGTAGAGGTCATATGGTCAGAAGCAGCAAAGCACACTGCGCTTAAAGCAAGATTATTGACCGAGTCCTGGGGGATTGTGAGGCAGCAACAAGACACTGATCTCATTGAAGTGGTCACGTAAATGTATAGGTTCCCATGACAACAGACAGACTGAGACCAAAAGATGAACAATGGATTGATCTTAAAATAAACAGCCTTGAAAAAGACAGTTTTAACAAAGTAAGGTTATTGATTGTGTTGGGAGATTTCAAAGTTCCCTCAGTGTAGAAGGAACAATACATTTTCCACATGTCACTATGACTTCGACATGTGTAAAGCCTGTGGGGATCACATTCTGCTTTAGTGTCCGTGGAAACAGGAGCAGACTTACGGCAGGGTGATCTTTCCCGAGCGTCTTCTCCCTGATGGACAGAGCGTCGTTCAGCAGATGAGCCGCCTCTTTGTATTTGTTCTGATCTCTGCACAAGGAAACAAAATCAGAAATCAATAAAGGAACAGTGTTTGAAATGTAGTCAGCTGTACCCCTAGTAAACGAGACATCAGTATAGAGGGTACTATACAGTCACAGCAGTGGTCTTCAAATCGGTCCAAAAAGTTTTCATTCCAATTTAGCGGGAGCACTCCACCCAATTCAACAAGTCTGTCCAGTCTTAACCCGAAGAATAGATGAAGCAGCCACACCAGCCATTTCTGGAACCAGTTTGACACCCCAGCTTTATAGGAATATTAACATGACTATTTACTTAGTTTGAAGCAAAATTGCTGCATGAGCTCCTGAATCCTGTACACTCTAGTTATTATTGAACACACCTCTCTGGATTGTAGCCTGGGGCTAATTTGGTTTATGTTTTGGATCATTGTCCTGTTGGAAGATAAATCTCCGTCCCAGTCTCAGGTCTTTTGCAGACTCCAACAGGTTTTCTTCCAGAATGGTCCTGTATTTGGCTCCATCCATCTTCCCATCAATTTTAGCCATCTTCCCTGTCCCTGCTGAAGAAAAGCAGGCCCAAACCATGATGCTGCCACCACCATGTTTGACAGTGGGGATTGTGTGTTCAGGGTGATGAGCTGTGTTGCTTTTACGCCAAACATATCGTTTTGCATTGTGGCCAAAAAGTTGGATTTTGGTTTCATCTGACCAGAGCACCTTCTTCCACATGTTTGGTGTGTCTCCCAGGTGGCTTGTGGCAAACTTAAATGAGACTTTTTATGGATATCTTTGAGAAATGGTTTTCTTCTTGCCACTCTTCAATAAAGGCCAGATTTGTGCAGTGCACGACTGATTGTTGTCCTATGGACAGACTCTCCCACCTCAGCAGTAGGTATCTCCAGTTCATCCAGAGTGATCATGGGCCTCTTGGCTGCATCTCTGATCAGTCTTCTCCTTGTTTGAGATGAAAGTTTGGAGGGACGGCCGGGTCTTGGTAGATTTGCAGTGGTCTGATACTCCTTCCATTTCAATATAATTGCTTGTACAGTGCTCCTTGAGATGTTTAAAGCTTGGGAAATCTTTTTGTATCCAAATCCGGCTTTAAAATTCTCCACAACAGTATCCCGGACCTGCCTGGTGTGTTCCTTTGTCTTCATGATTCTCTCTGCGCTTTAAACAGAACCCTGAGACTATCAAAGAGCAGGTGCATTTATACGGAGACTTGATTACACACAGGTGCATTCTATTTATCATCATCAGTCATTTAGGACAACATTGGATCATTCAAAGATCCTCACTGAACTTCTGGAGTGAGTTTGCTGCACTGAAAGTAAAGGGGCCGAATAATATTGCACGCCCCACTTTTCAGTTTTTTATTTGTTAAAAAAGTTTAAATTATCCAATAAATTTCGTTCCACTTCACGATTGTGTCCCACTTGTTGTTGATTCTTGACAAAAAAATGTTTTTATATCTTTATGTTTGAAGCCTGAAATGTGGCAAAATGTTGAAAGGTTCAAGGGGGCCGAATACTGTATTTATGTTTTTAGTAGTCCTCCATCACTTATACAATCTCCAAGAAGTACCTTGTCTCTTTCAAATACGAAAAAACCTGTAGGTTTAATTACATGAGCTACCTGACATATATCAAAGCCACTGACCAGATTTATTAGAACAAATTGTCAATACATTTGTATGCATTTATCATGTAAAAATTAAAGGGGGCCCATTGGCCCTTAGATGCACCACTGTTAACCTTATGATTGGACCTTCTGACCGCCTGCTCCTCACCTGTAGACCAGAGCCAGGATGTTGAGCATGGTGGCCACGTCGGGGTGGTCGTGGCCTGAGGTCTTCTCCAGATCCTCCAGAGCCTGTTTGCAGAGGGGCACGGCCACCTCGTACCGGCCCTGAGACGCGTACTGGATCACCAGGTTGTGAAGCGTCCGGAGCCGAGCAGGGATCTCGTAGCCCCCCTGCTGAGCTGCAGCCACCGCTGCGCTGTTGTGCTGGTGCTGCACTGTGAGGGGAACAACAAAACATGTGAGCCACCGACTAAATAGAACTTTTAACAGGACTATTCAGTAGCAAGGAGTCACCTGTCATTCTAGTCAATTTAGTCTGAAAAATGTTGCTAATTGTTTCAGATGCACTGTATTGTATGGGAGCGACTGACAAAAGACAGACCAAGGACGCTTCACTGAGGTCACCGTTTGTCATCAAACCAATGTCCTTCATTATATTCTCAGTTGAAGCACAAGTCAGGGACGAGTCAGGGATCAAGGTTTACATTTCCATTTCATTCCGACTGACCGCAAGAGGACATTGCTTTAAACCTGGATATCTACACGTGCACATGTAGAACCCGAGTAACATACTATATGTAACTCCGTATTTATCATTTGTATTTCACAATTACATTAATGTGCATTTACTTTATCAGATGATTTACCCAAAATGCCACTTGTTTATGTGTGTTTAGAAATAACAAAAGTACTAAGAGTCCTATGGCATTTCTTTATTGACCTGCAGTTGATGCATGTGCCATGTAAATAAATGTACTTCCAGTTTATGACCTGCCTTGCCTTTCCTCATGTGAAACTGAAAGTAAATGCTGCTTTCTCCATTTTGTCTGATTTGTCCTCAGTTTCTTTAAATGAAATGTACATAATAAATACATTTTCTAAATCAACCTGTAAGCTGACAAAAATGGATGAGTTATTTTTAAATAATTTAAATAATTTTCCATAATAAACCCCCCAACACTCTATTTAGTATAATTGATTTTGAAAAGTCCTTACCTCCTTGTCCTTGATCCTCCTCATCGTTGGGGAACAGATCGTCCAGGGAGTCCTTTGGTGTCTCCTTGTCCTTCTCCTCCTGCTGCAGACACAAAAAAAGACACTAATTATTTCTGACAGACGCAAAGACACTGCGCTATAATCCAAATTATTCACACAACAAACGACGGCAGGTTTGACAAGTGACGCAGGATTACAGCCAAACATCCGCCCTCCTCAGAGACGGTGAAGAGGCAGCACCACATGTTTACAAAATCAAACAAGCATCATAACCAGACATTACCGGATCACTGTTTTACAAGTATTGTGACTAAGGCTTCTGCAAGACAGGAAAGATAGTAGTTTTGTCAATATTCAAATTAATTATAATTTTGGAGAATAAAAGAAATCATATTATTAGCACAGCCCTGTATTAATAGTTCTATGCATCTAATGGAACTGTTTGGACAAAATTTACTAATTCAGCAATAAAAAGGGGAAACAATTACATCACTGGTTGTTTTCATGTTGTTTTCTTAATTCTAAAGCATTACACATAATTTCCTGCATTTTTGTTCAGATAGATGTATGGGTCTGGATCTGTTCAAATTATATAGTAACTTAGTATAACATTGAAATGAAAATTAGGCCAATCAAGACTAAGAGAAATGGTGGGTACGTTTTCCTGGCTAAAAACTGAAATATTGTTGTGAATTTGTTAAATAAGTGTTCTAGACAGAACTGTAGATTGATTAGTTCATTATGCTTGTTTTCAAGAAATTTGCCGGAACAACCAAGGGTTATGTGATACTAAAGTGAAATAATAATGTCATTCTAATCATGTGCTACTCAATCAATCAAACAACTGGCATCTTGCTTTCATTCCAGTCACACTTAATTGTTGAGAACAGTTATTTTCAGTCCAGAGATAAACTACAAATGAGGAATAGTTTGAAGAACAATGAACTAAAATAAATGCATTATGAGTTGGATTTGTTTCCCAAAAATAAAACACAGTTAAACAGATTATACTGAATGGCCTTTAGTAATGTCACAACGAACAGATAATACTAATGGTTGCTTTCAGGCCGACAACGCTGAAACGCACGTTCTCTAGTTTTCAGACGCAGGGGTCTTCAGACCAGAGGTCCTGGCGCGAGCCGGAAGTGCCGGAAGTAGCCGGCGGGCTCTGATGCTAACAGAGTTATGCTAGCGGCTTACGTTTATTTTATTATTAAACGGTACTTCCGCATCAGCGAACACACTCGAAGCAGTTGCATAAAGTCACAGGAGCATGAAAACTATGTCCCCCATTGTCAACGCTGGTTTAGTCCTGATGTAGCTCCTGTTATGGCTGTTTACGAGTATTTTCAGTCTGCTCGCTCAGTCCGCTAATGCCTCTGTGACCACTTTGCGGCTCTCTGATTGGTTGCTGCACGAACGTCCCGAAGAAATGTTCAGCAAAATTCATCTCCTGCGTTCCTCCCCTTCGACTTCCCAGCGCTCCGTGCGTGCATTCCGAGACGTCCGTGCGTTGTGACGCTTGAACGCGCGTCACCATTGACTTTGCATTGAAAGCCGACGCAACGCATGATCCGGTCTGAACGCGGCATAATGAAACCATAAGTTGAATTTTTTTTTTTTTATAAAAAACATCTACTCCAATGATTATTAGATCTAAACTGTATTTACTTGTTTCAGATTTCATTAAATTTGTTTAATTACTTAAAGACTATTAACTAAGCTAAAGCCATTTCCTTGATTCCAGAGTCTGATGGAGTCATTTTGTTAATAATATTAGCTTTGTTGTGTTATTCAATGCTTACAAAAGAATAATATGTAAAAATATACAGTATCTTCCATCATTAACATACTAAGTAAGTTATGTCCAGTTCTAATTTGGGCCGTGGCTTGGCGTTGTACCCCTGCACTAACGTACCAATGGGGGTGGACAAAAGCATGACCAGTGCAGTTTACTTACAGTGGGCGAGACATCTTCGTCGTACTTCTTGAGCTGGTTCATGAACTCCAGGTGCTTCTTCTCCTCCTCCAGCTGGGCCACGTTCTGCTCGCTCTTCTGCAGCTTCTGTTGGGTGTTGGCCAGCTCGTCCCGCAGCCACTGGTTCTCCTGGCAGAGCCGCCGCACCTGAGCGCGCAACTTCTGCTTCTCTGACTCCACCGCGTTCAGATGGTTGGACAGAGCCATCATCACCTGAGACAGAGATGCCATGGGGGCAAGTTAAGGGTTTGGAAAGAAATGAAGAAAAAGAGAGGAGAGACGGCTGTGGAGGAATGAATCATAATCCCACAATCTACCCAGATATAGAAAGAGGAAGCACTATGATATGAGGCTAGGAAGTGGTATGTTTCCTTTGGGTTTATTTACAGGTTTAGCGCCTGTTTGAAGTAATGCAGTATTAATTGCTATTACTAGCACGTCATCCATAATGCTTTGCACCTTAGACAGGCTGTACAGCTGTATACAAAATATTAGTCAGTGGCACACCACACAGCGCTTAAGAAATAAACACATCTTAGAATTAGCTGAATCTTTCGGTATTCTAAATCATCTATTTTATTATTTGGATGGGACAGTGTGTATTAATGAACAGTTGTCCCACAGTTTCATTCACAAACACTCACTAATTCAGCCTGAACTATTGTACATGTTTTTACTGGTAGGGAAAACCAGGGCACTTAGCAGAAGCCTATGCAGACACAGGGAGAACATGCAAAGACCACATAAAAAGGCCTGAAGTAGAATCAAACCCAGGATCTTCTTGCTGTGACGCCGGACAAGTGCTAACCACTGTGCCGTCCTATATATATGTTTGTAATAACATTAATCATTATTATTAGGAACACAGAAAAAGTTGTTATCCCCTAATCTTCGGCAGTAGCTTTACTCACAATCAAAACAACGTCAGCAATGAATCATGTACAACACGCTCTCTGCAGTTACCCCCAAGGCGCAAAGCATTATGGTATTGTGCAAGAAGTGAATTTACAAAGCTGCATGTAAAAAACACTTCAAACTATACAACTATTTCAGAACATGCCAGGGTAAACAGTCATTTTCAACAAAGCAACATATTTAGTTCTCAAATTTGGGATAAAATGGCTGCCTTTGGAGTGGATTGAGTAATTGAATGTGTTGTCTGACCTGCGCCTCTCCCAGCCCCAGCTCAATCATCTCCACAGACTTGCGCAGCAGGCTGGACTTCTCGTGGACCAGGTTTGCCTCCTCGTCCTTCTTCAGGCACTTGATGGTCTCCAGGAGGCTGTGCAGGATGGAGTTGTGCTCGTTCTTCAGGGCCTCCAGCCCCTGGATCACCAGCTTCGTGTTGGAGATGATCTCTTCCTGGGAGAGCTTCTCCAGCTTCTCCTCGCGTGGGTACACCATGGTCGTCATCTTCTCTGGAGCTCAGGGAAACCTACAGAAGAGAACATTTATGGATATTTATAAGCACTTATGGACATGTATCCCCCCCCTATGGACCAATATTTATGTGTTCTCTATTCATTGTATTTTAACTGTTTGATTCTCTGATCTGTGTTGGTGATTACACGGTTTTGTCAAGTCCTCTGAGATAACTATTGTTGTGATTTTGGGCAAAAAAAACCAAAACGAATTGCACATTTTATAGTTAAAGTATTTCTATTCAATGTAAACCTACATTTAGTCATCTACAGCATGGGTATTTTAAAGACACTACTACTACACTCTCAGTGGATTCTGTCAGCATTAATCATGACGCAATATATCAATCCACGCATCAAGGAATGATTCTCTCTCTTTTGTAGATCAGAAAAATGAGCTCAACACTGGATGATGCATACTGACACAACAGTGGTTACGGACAAATTTGAGCTCATATTACATCTTTAAACTAGTCAATATATTTAATGAGCCAGAACATAACGCCAGCATTTCTCAGATGACTGCATCAAACTGTGAGCCATCTGCCGAGACACAGAAACAAGGCCGGTCCCATCCAAAACACCACAGTCGGTTATGTTTATCTGCTGTGAAAGGCCACATGCAAACACCAAAGCTGCACCACGCCTACAGTATGCATGGCTGAGTGGTGGAGACATTATTCCACTGCCTCGGTTTGAGAGAGGGACAATAATAGCGCACATTTGTGAGTCAGATTGTGCAGTGCGTTCACAGCTGCTGCAGAGACGCTGAGGGGCTGGAGACTGTGACGCTGTGAAAGAGCGAGGAACACACCCAGGCTGAGAATATGCATCTCATGGCAACATTCAAAACAGGAACAAGGCGGAAAGCTCAATTATTTTCAACATTTTCTGTGTAACACAAATTGTGGGATAGTGCTCTCCATGATCCTGGTGATCCTTACATTTTGATAGTGTCTTTGTTAAACCAGATATGAGCCATAAGGATTAGTAAGTAATAAGTAATCTTTATTTATATACCGACACACAAAGTCACAAAGCGGTTTACAATTGTTGTGGGCATTTGTCTCTCACTCCACACAGAGATTGTCGAGGTCGCCAGTACAGAAGACGCATGCCAGACCTATTGAACATGTTTTTAGTGGTAGGGGAAAGCGGAGTACCCGGAGGAAACTTACACGGACACGGAGAGAACATGCAAACTCCACTCATAAAGGCCCCGTTCCGACCGGGCTTCGAACCCAGGACCCTCTTGCTGAGAAGCCAGAGTGCTATCTACTCAGCAGCCACTGTGCCGCCCGATTAGATAAGCTAAGAAAACCTTTTTTTATTGATAGTCATCAGATGCCGTCATTTAAGGGGGAAACTCCAGTTCGCCTTAGTAACCATAATAGCAACGTGTCTACCCCTGCTACGACGCAAAGCCAACTTTGTCAGAATAAATGCCCATGAAAGGAATTGGCTCCGGCTGGCATATGTCTGAATCAGCTTCTTCCACATTGGGTAAACACTATGGGTGACGTAACATACTGTATATTATTGATGTCCTCCACCCAGCTACTCATGCCGACCATGAAGCTATAGGTCAAGATCTGCAGGAGGGTCACAGGTTTGGTTACTGCCAGTGTTATTTTGTTCCACCCAGTCTGGTTTTGACCTATGACTCAGTGGACCACATCTCTGCAGACGTCTCCAAAAGCCACTGCCCAGAAACTGCTGCTGTCGGCCAATGAAATACGGATGGGACCAAACAGTTAGAATCAAGAAATGAGGCAGTGAGCATCTGTGAAAGCGGCTCCCGTGACTGTAATATAAAAGCAATGCGAGGATAGCTGCTCTTTTGTTATATACGACCGTGTGCAAACAGCTATGAGATGCGTACGCACACTCGCACAGTAAATCCTCTCACACAGCAATGAATGTACACACTGTTCTTTAAGATAAATGATAAATCCTCTGCTCACTGCTCCTGAGGCAGCACAGTAACGACCAACTGCTCCAGATAGTTTCATTAGCAGCAGAAAATCAGGTATAGAGATGTTTTTAGAGAGAGCATGTTACCAACTCAATGGGCCTGGCTTGCTTGGTTAAGTCTGGTTCAATAATTGGGTTGCAAAAAGTTAATAGGTGAATTTGAATAGTCCTTTTATTTTAATAATGGTGAAATAATTTAGTAAATGATATACCCATTTAGGAGATCACACTAGACGTTTCTGTCCATTTAAATATGTGGTACCTAATTTGAAAACTACAAAAAATGTGACTTCTTGATACAATCATTGTAACTAGTTCCTGGCTCTAAGACAGTTTGATTCCATCACTAGTTTTCACATGAGTGTGTGTAATTTTAGCCTCTGTCATGTCTTTAGATTCGTTTTTTCAGACAGAAATGGGAAGAAGAGAGGACCACCCTCACTCATCCAATCGGCTCTCAGCTGACGTTTAATAGTGACTCCCAGGGCTCTTTCCTAGAACTATTTCACTTTAACAGGACAGATATCGTTAGGACAGACTAAATGGATTACGGAATAAGTAACCCCGGCTTTCAGGTCATTTTAATATTTGTCTATACATGAAACATATGCCCTCAATAGTATAGTACAAAATAATCTTCTTCCTGCTGTAAAAGGTGCCATTTCTTCCATGAACTGATCTTATTTCCGGCTTGTATCTATCCCTTCCCATACATGCGGCCGGACATAAGCCATTAGTCACTAAAGCACATCTCCCAAATGAAACCTGAGACACCTTTGGTAACAACTTTCATAAGACGCTTTCATCTTGTCAAATGGGGCTTTGCTTTAGTGAGATATTTTCTCTGTTGCACCAAAGCTTTGAGCGGCCTTTGATTTCCTCTCCTCAGCTCGATACCTGCTGCTGCCTGTGCTCTGCCGAAAACACTTAAATAATGATCAAATACAAGGGCAGCAGCACTCACACGCTCTTGTGAAGTTAATGTTTTCTCTGAGTTAAAAAGGAAAGATAAAGTTTAGCTCTGTTTACAACCAAACACTGACCTGCTTAATCTTTAACATTACATCTAACTTCATAAAAGTGTAAAAGACAAAAACAGAAGCTCAGAATGATGGATGAAAAGGATCTCTTGCTAAATTAGATTGAATACAAGCCATATTTGAACAATTTGACAGCAGCTCAAGGCGAACCCTCCGCTTTAATCTTTATCTGTGAGGACTGCAGTCGACCAAAAGATACTTGATCTAAGGACTACAAAGAACAAGTACTAAAACAAAGTATTAAAGCAAGTGAGCAAGTATTCTACTAAAAGTAATGACAAAATGTCTTCATATTATTAACTATACCAGAAGAACTTGAATCAAACCTCATGGCCAAATAAAACAGTATTATTATTTTGAGTTAGTTTATTGTCAAAAAATGGCACTACTAAATAGTTTATAGTAGTTTTTTATTATTGAAATTGAAATTTGATGCCTAGTCAATTGATTTGTTGACTAAAAAGGAGGTGAGGAAAAAGAAACAGTTATATCCGACCTAATTATGAGATTATGTTGCATGAGGCAACAAGGTAGTCATATTTAAAAATGGGAAATACATTTCATAAATCAAAACTTCTTTCTGCCATAAAAAAACCAAAACAAATACCAACTATTTAGCTAATGTACTGAATCTTCTGTTATTTATGCTTTCCTATGTAAATGAAAGCAAATATAGCCCTAGAATAAGCCCTAGGACGCTTAATAGGGTTAGTCAGACAGACCCCAGGACTAGACACAGAGCTCGCATGAACTAAACTTTGGAGCAGTAAGAGGACAGACCTGCCAAATTGGAAGGCTGCACATTGCTGAGGGAACCATAAAATGTCTCTGCCGGTCATTTAGGCGTGTGACGATATATCGTGATACTTTCTCCCGCAATCGATTATCAATGCATTTGCCAAGTATCAATTTAAAAAAATTAATATATATACACATATATATATTTTAAAATTATGTATTAGTATCAATACTTAATATATGACTACATTACGCATCTCCATTTCATTTATCATGAAATAAAGTGTATTTTTTCACTTAACATTATTCTTTTATTTATGCCATAGATTGGCATATGGTATATTTCTGACACATATAATGTGATATAATCGTTATCGTGAGCTTTGTATCGCGTATCGTATCGTGAGGTACCCTGAGGTTCCCACCCCTACGGTCATCCAACTCTCAAATATTTAGTTAGTTTAAGCAGAAGCAAACTTTGAAACCGATTTATACCATCAGTGAGAAAGCTAATTCAAAATACGTTGAGGAATTCAAATAAATCACTATTAGGTCTAAAGTTGAAACAATGGGCCTAAACCTGGACTATAGATTAAGAAACTATACATGAAGTAAACATCCATACCTTAAGCAAAAAGTAATGATGTTGTGACATTTTAACCAGAGTACATTCTTGACTGAATAATACAAGCATTCAGAAACGGTTAGAGCAAAGAAAACTGGGTCAAAACTAGAACTCCGTCACGACTTTATATTTATGTGCACTATCAGAGTCAGTGCATTTTAAGGTACACAGGATTCCATTAGAAAGCAGTGGACAGAGCCCACTCTGAACAACCATCTTGCCTTAAACTTGTCTAAATCCTCCATTTTCTGTAGTTATCCTCAGGGCTCTATCGCTCCACTGCACCAGCCACTTCCTCTGAACTCTGCAATATTAATCATTCATACCTTAATGCTTCTTTAGCTGCAGCGAGTAGAGCCCAACCCTCATCGCTTGGCATCCAGATCAGAGAAGGGAATTATGTCTCTCAAACTCGTAGAATCCATATAAAGTACGTGTCTGCAAATCCTCAAAATATGAGAAGGAGGAGAGGAAAAATACTGGAGGTGGGATAAGCCTGAGATGTGACCTTCTGTGAGAGCCAAGGCAAAGAAAGAGTCAGACTGTCCCACCCACAGATGCAGACACAGGCAGGGAGGGGGAGAGAAGAGGGGTGTGCTAAAGACATCATAGATTTAGAAGTAGATACAATATAGTTTTTAAATTTGTAATATTATTATCTTCAATTAGATCAAATGCACCAATGAAGTATTAGGTTTTTCTCAAAATAGACTAAAGTTACTAAAACAGCAAAATGGCTTTGTGGCACAAGCTTAAATAATGGCCACAACAAACAAACCCCCTCAAGGGATCATATGACAATAGTAAGAAAACAGTTGGATATAGCTGTGACATTAACCTCCATTTTTTCGTATGCACTCTCGTCTAACTAGTCAAATGTGTTAAAAAAAAATATTGTGAATTCCAACGCAAACACAGAAGTAGATATGCTTGCCAAAATCGTGCAGCCCGAGTTCTATGGAAGTTAGTTAGTCAGATTTGGTCATTGAGGAGATGTGGTCAGCTGTGATGAGGCTTTGATGCACATGACTGGCTTAAACTAGAAAGATCATAGAGTTACGCTAGTAGACCATACATCTCACAACACACTATGGTTGTTAAGCTTGTGTGAAATTCATTTGACAAAGGGAACCAGCATAACGAGGAAATAGTTTAACAGTTTAAGAAGTGCGATTAGTTAACCAGCCTGAGCCTATAGCCTAGAGTAGTAGCAATTTCAATTTCATAGCCAGAGAGTGTTTGGAATACAGAGGTAACTTCCAATCCCAACTATAAAATAGATCATAAAATAAGCTTCCTGGATTTCTGTGACATAATTTGACTGGAGAAATATGGTGCAGGCCAGATCAAAGGGCAGACTGTAATGAAAAGTCAATAGGACGATGTGGACACACTGACAGCGCTGTGTTGGAACAGTTCATTTACATCAGTCAGCTTCAATTATTCATCTTTTGGAAATCTCATGGGAATAACAGAGGGAGAATCCAGGTTTGGTAAAGGCAGACACAAGAACTTTCTGAGTATTAACGATAATACGCGTGTTATCAATGAAGTAACTACACTATACTGATATGTCCAACTCATTCTATGTATAAAACATCCTTAAACATGGTAATTTATCTTATAGCATCAATTTAATAAGCATGCATAATGTGACATATAACTGTGACAGACTTGTAAATGACTTCGGAGGCTATAATTTATCTGGTCTCATTTTGTGCTGACTGAAGGACCTCTGGGGTAAAACTATCCACCAGAGCAACTTGTACTTTCATTATATTTAATTACGTACCATGTAGCAAGCTTTGTCCACAAAAATATACAAACAAGAAAGCAATTATAGACGTATATATCTTGGATGATTCTGAATTCTGAGGACAACTAGAAAGACCCATTCGATTATAGTAGTCAATTTTGTAATAAAGAACTGATATACGTTGAAGCTGTGTTTTTTGGATGTTCAAAGTTAAGCCATTTTTGTCTCATTTGTCACGAGACAAAGACACACGTTTCCTTCCAATTGCTTCAGTGAAGCATGATACCGGGTGATCGCATCCTCCGGAACCATTTCCTGAGCAGATATCATCCATTCCTTGCGATCCGTACACTGCTCTCACTCTATCGCTGCACTGAACCACCGGAAAATCAGCAGAGGCAGCAGATCACGAGGGTGTGGCCTGAAACAACACCGACACTGTCCACCGCCATCAATCACTTCCGAACCAGCTGCTCCACACTTTCATCAAACCAGGGACATAAAAAAGGCAATAAAAAAGAGGCAGCTGATAATTAGTGTGTTGTTTAGATTACTGCACCATGTTATTTGAATGGTATGGTGGTAAATGGTCACAAAAAACTGCTGCAGATATTACACATGTTATTACTTCAGCTGTTAGACATTCAGCTGTTGAACGTTATGGGCAACGTCATTTAAAATCTTTTCATTAGACAAAAATTGTAGATGGTAAATAATATCTGGTGAGGACTGGATTCGATTGGAACCATCTTTGGTTGTTGATTTTGCAGTTGAACAATGACTTTGTCCCCATCAATACAACAAAGTTAATCAGGATAATATAGGGCTGGGCAATAAATCGAATTTTGGCAATTAATCGGCTTTTGAAAAAATCGAATTTGTGAAAAGTGTTAAAATTGTGAAATCGAATGAAGGATATTGTGAGAGTTCCAGCAGCACATTAATAATATTAATCAAAGACTTTTATAATACGTATTGAGGGAAACAAATTAGAAATAGTTTTGAAACTTGAATATTGAGCGGAAAGATCAAAACATAATTTTAAGGGCAAAGTCAGTCTTCGGTGACTTTAATAAAAATCGAAATCGTCCAAAGCAGGAAATAAAATCGAGATTTTACTTTTTCGCCCAGCCCTAGGATTATATATAATAATGGATACTATACGATGTCTTAACCTTACATTTTATCTTTGAGATGCTCTAAAAGGAAAATACATGCATTTCTAACTCACGCATTTAGCAAAGAACACATAGGGTGTGAATACATATAATTACCATGTTGTTGACATTATTATAGATCCATGGATTTGGGTGACAAATACAGGACTCTTTACTCTCACAATTATATCAGTACTTTTTATATCTCAACTACAATTATACAATTTCTCACATAAAGCTATTAACATTGATTGTTATTCTATCCTGCAGTAATTGAACTTTGAATTGCATTGGAAACAGTAGAACGTCTTTAAAGAGTAATAAAGGGGCTCTTGTGTTAAATCCGTTGTACAATGGCATATTTGACCGGAGCATAAATAGGAACAGTGTGTGGGCTTCTGCATGTGTTATAAACCACGGATGAAGACAGCAGCTGATCAGAGGCTGGACATGATCGCATTGTTATGACTCTGTAGTTACAGACTAGCGCTGCCAATCAGGCTGATTTCCACTGTCAAAGCCACAAGACTCACTCTCATTTAGAATTATACAACAGTGAAAAAAAAACATTCAACCAAAACGACCTTATTCAGGGGTTTTCTCATGTTTGTGTCATAATATAAGGGCTGCGGGAGGCTAGCTTTAGCCCGACCAGTGCTAACCTCACCACTCCCTAAAGCTCACCGGGATTTTAATCACCAAAAAACAAAGCAGGACTTAACAGCAAACACGTTAACATCAGTTGGACTTATTCACAATATAATCGCACATAGTGTCCCAGAAAACAGCAGTAAAAGACTGAAACCTCACCGAGAGCTACCGCCTCCGTCCAGCTGCGCCGCTTTGATCCAAAATGTCTGAAGGATTTCCCACAATCCACCGGGAGCCAGACAGAAATGATGACGTGATGTTTGTTTCTGCCCCAGAGAGACATGCCCATAGACCCTACAGAGCGCATACGGTTTGCTCTATGTCTATGCTTTTACGGTAAAGAGTATAGAGCTTAATGTTGAAGATAATAAAAGAGAGATGTTAGAACGTATTTCTTAGAATATTTCCATGCCATAGTCTTTGAATGAGTTCTTACTTCCCTCAGATTTTGGAAGAATTTCTGCGCATTCTTACTGCATATGAAAATGTGCATACAAACAAACTTAGAGAACGAGGATTTCTCACATCGTTATTGTGTTTGTGGTTAGAAAGTTATAACTTATAGGTAACTCCATAGATCCATGGTAACTCTGCGCCAATATATTTGGATCGACACTGACATCTTGTGGTTATCAAATATATTACATGTTACTATAATTGTGTTGAACCAATATATCAAGGATTCACTAAATACAATTTTAATACACAATTAATACACACACAAAAACGTTATAAATGCTTTTAAAATTGAAATGTCTTAGAAAATAGTGAAAAACATTAACTAGTGTTGCGACGTCATCAGCACGCGACCATGCCAGTCGTGCTCTGAAGGACGCCGATGATAAAAGTTGAGATGAATTAAGCGGAAATAACAGGTAATTGTAATAAACAATTGTATGCATTGCGATGTTTTATCAAAGAAATCCGCTCAAAAGCAAAGAATGGACTAGATCGCGATTATACAGATTGTTTTTCTAGCTCAATATCGTGTTGCTAGTCGCTCACCGGTGCTTGACATTTATTTGATATATAATAATTCTAGATCTGTAACGCGCTGTGTTTTTTTTTCAGTGTAGGTTTGAGCAATGGCAGTGTCGTGTTTGACTCGAGGTCTCCGCTCCTTGACTGTGTCCCCGTGTCCTCTGCTCTCCTCTCTGGTAAACAAACATGAAACAAACGTGCATTAGCGGAATAAACATGAAATACTGATTCCATTGATATCTCAGGCTGTGACACAAGCTAAAACTGGAGGGCAGTGTATCAACCTGGGACTATGCAAAGGATTTCAGACCACAGCTGCACTGGAGCAGAACAGAACAAACTGGAAACAGACGGATAAATATACAATCAGACCTATTGGGAAAAAGAAGACTGGAGGCAGAGACCATACAGGTGAGTGTATATAGTTTACTCTATTTTTCATACTGGGGCGTGGGTCAGCAATAACAATATACATAACCCATGAATGTATAAGCTCAACATGCAAGCAAGAAGTCATCAGCTGTTCATTCCAGTAGTTGTATACAAATACCTGATTCTATATTGTTGTTTTAATTGTATGTACTCATGGCAGAGATGTACTACATTTGTTTGAAGCACTTGCTTTGTACATTTTTTTCACACACAATTCAAGACAGAGGCAGAAATCATAACAGAACTATGATGTAAGATGAGCTTTAAAAGTCTATTATTATTATTATTATTATAACTAATCTGAAGTATTTAGAAGTTTAGAGTCCATTATTAAAGCTTCTCTGTTCAAGGTGTTAGCTGTAGTATTCCGCTGAGTCTTTTCTTTGACCTACCTCACTCCTGAGATGATAAAGAATCCTAATTATACCCCAATATCTAAAATATTCAATGTACTGTACTATATGTCCCTGCCTTGTGTGAAGAGGCTTGAAAAGTAATGTAGCCTATATTCCTTGTCTTTGATCGAACAAAAATGTAAAAACATACTTAAACATGAAACGATACTCACATTATTCCTTCTCCTCTTGTATAAATTAGGAAAAGTTCGGGTTCATGGCATCGGCGGTGGACACAAACAGCTGTATCGATGTGTGGACTTCCAACGCCTGAGATATGAACCTAACAAAGAGGACAAACCATTCGAAGAAAAGGTGGTCGAAGTGCGATACGACCCCTGCAGGTGAGGCCAGTGTGTTGTAGCAGCATGTTTGGGACTTTGGGTTGAGGGTCTTAGCTGCATTAGAAACTACAAAAGCTGTCTCAAGCATAATTACTTTTAAATGGACTCAAATTAGAGTAACTTGGGTCTAATACATTGGGATGGATATGATACATTCAGCGTAGCAGAGAAAGACTGCTGTAAGGCTGTACAATTCCATGTGTTTATGCAATTGGATAATCACTGACTTATAATATACAATCAAAAGACAAAACTCACAAGATGATTTCTGTGAGTAATATTGAATGGTTTTTGGATGTTATTTTTTCTCCCTTCCCCTGACTCTCCCCAACATACAGTAAATATTCATACACATATTATCATAACAAAGAATAGCCTGTTCTGTGTGTTATGTTATTTTATGGATGTTTGTTCTATGTATCTATCTATTCACAGTTTTCTTCCACTTTATTCAGAGCTGGATCACAGAGGAAACATTATCAATTTAATGATGACTATTTTAATTTCTACCATCCATTATGTGGAATGAGAGAATATGATTGAGTCTCTTGGTTTTGTCCTGGTGGTTTTATGTCTAATCTGCATGGAAGGGGCTGTGTGCCTATTATAATAGCCATTGAGTAAATCATATATTTATTCATCTGTTGTGCCCTCATAGATCAGCAGACATCGCTCTGGTCGCTGGAGGAAATAGAAAAAGATGGATCATTGCGACAGAGAACATGGAAGCTGGGAACATCATCAAGACCTCAGGAGTCATTGGACGCATGGCGGGTAAGGATACGAAGACTAGTTTCTGATGTGCCATTTACAGTATGTTGCCGTGTTGAAACTGGATTTTACAAAGATTATATATGATTTTTTTTCAGTTTCTGCAAAGGAAGGAGATGCTCACCCTCTGGGAGCTCTTCCGGTGGGGACGCTGATCAACTGCCTGGAGATAGCACCAGGCAGAGGAGGGCAGTTCATCAGAGCAGCAGGTAAGGACTAAAAATGTGACCTCCACTGTTAATTATTTAACACACAAACATGTATAGATAGATATAATTACAGTAGATTACATGTAATGGTAAAAAACTTTCTTTGTTTTAGGCACCAGTGGCGTCCTGCTCCGTAAAGTGAACGGAACAGCGATCGTACAACTTCCCTCTAAGCAGCAAGTTCAGGTGATCTATTCTTGAATAACTCACGTTTACTCAGATTCAGTTTATTTGCCTTTTGCAGTAAAAAAACCACATTGGAATACATTAGCAAAAGTCTCCAGTGTGCACAGACAAATACAGACAATAAAAGACAGAAATAAAACAAATAAAACAGTAAACAAATGTCACTGTGAAATGGATCGACTAAAACAGTTTCAAAACAAGTGCAAATCATTAAAGTGCTCTGTTCACACTGATAACAGCCTGTGGATAAAAACTGTTAGCGTAACGAGATGTCCTGCATCTCAGAGAGCGATATCTTCTGCCAGAGGGAAGAAGCTGGAACATGGCTTTCCCAGGGTGGCCAGAAGAGTCATTAACAATCCTAAGAGCTTTGTTTAAAAGTCTGGATTTTTAAAGAACCTCCAGAACAGGAAGCTCACAGCCCACGGTCCTCTTTGCAGAGCGGAGCACCTTGTTTAAAGCTCTCTTTTCTTTATCTGTGATGTTTCCAAACCACACAGACACAGAACCAACAAGTAAACTCTCAATGGTGCCGCGATAAAAGTTAAGCAGAATCTTAGAGTTAGTGGTAAATTCTCTAAGTTTACGCAGAAAGTAGAGACGCTGACGAGCTTTCTTAACGACTCGGTCAGTGTTTTTAACCCATTTCAGGTTAGACAGAGTTAAACCCAGAAACTTGCACTCCTCTACGATCTGCACCTGGGAGTTGTCGATTACGACAGGCAAATGAGAACTATTGCGACTGAAGTCGTAGACCAGTTCACATGTTTTGGATGCGTTCAACTGGAGGTTGTTAGTTTTACTCCACTGAACCACATTTTGTATCTCTGCTCTATAAGAGGATTCATCAGTGTCACTGATGAGACCGATGATGGTGGTGTCATCAGCATATTTGATGATCAAGTTTGAGTCAGAGGAGGACACACAATCGTGAGTGTACAAAGTACATCCCTGAGGAGAACCTCAGGGATGCTAGAAAATGCAGCTTTTCAAAAATTGGATGTGTGTTTCTTCCCAGGTCCAGGAGAACTGTATTGTGACAGTGGGGAGAGTGTCCAACATCAACCACAATAAAGAAATCATTGGAAAAGCGGGTCGCAATCGCTGGTTCGGGGTCCGTCCTTCCAGTGGGTTGTGGCAGAGGAAAGGTGGCTGGGCTGGACGCAAGATCAAGCCTCTGCCTCCAATGAAAAGTTATGTTAATTTACCCTCAATAGCAGCGAAGTAGCATCACCAATGGTTACTGCTTCACTGCTGTACAGAAGATGACATCTGCTGGTGAATATTGCAAAATATATGGGAACATGTACTATAACGATTTTATAATAAATGTATATATGCCCCACATTATGTTGTTCTGTGTGATATTTAAAACAAGATTAAGATACGGCTAATTGTTTACGTTTGAATGCGCTGGAAAACGGCTGCAGGTCCTAAAAGCCTGTAGATCCACGGTCTTAAGTAGCTCTGAAACAGTTTTTGTTTTATGCTTAATTGTTTTTTTCTTGCTTTTTTTCTACCTGAGATGTTGCTGCAGTACAGTGTTCATGGTTTAACACTGGTCCAGACCAGAGCAGAGAGGATTCATGGTCCGAACTAAGTGGATCAGGTGAAATTTCACCCGGAGGAATGCTAACTTTTTGAAAAATGCTAATGAAGCATTAAGCATTTCACTTTGGACTAGAGCAGAGAAAATGGCCCGTACCAAGCAGCTTCTCTATCTCTGCTGCTGTGACCTGAAGGGCTGTTGCTGATTATTACTATTGTTAGCTATTGTTATTTTTTTTGCTGTTACTGGGCAACTGAATTCCTCCGACGGGGTATCTATATTTAATGAGACGTCAAAATATCATAGATTGTCTTTTTAATCAGAAACATTGCTTTTGTCTTAATGGCAAGAAATTAAGAAATATCAGGTCATATAATCAGACTATTTTAGAAATTCTGGAAATAAAAATTTACAAATGTTGGACTGATAGGAATAATTCAAACTGAAATCTTACAAAATGACAGCTTTGAGATGTCTTTTAGAAAACTTTGGTTAGACCTGGCCATCTAAATCAATCTACACTACTCAGATGTTAAAATGCTGATAAAATGGTAATTTGGTGAAGGTGAAACATAATATAAAAAGGCTAAAACAAAGCAATATCCAAACACATGTCCTCAGGTCTGGCCCTCCACAATGTTACTATATACTGAATTTCCCATGTTCATTTGAAATGTGTTCAAAGTAAAAATCGTCTCCGCTTGAGCCAACTTTGAGTTTGTGTAAAATCCAGGTAAAAAGCGACGATTCCTTCGTTCTTTGCACAAATACAAGAGGTTTACAAATGAAGACCATTCTTTGTACAGAAGATTACAAATTTTATTTAACACAACTGCTTGTGAGCATGGAAAGAAACAAACAATATAAAAATCCAAAACATATTTACAGCTATAGTAAAACATGCAGAGGAACCCATATTTTAGTGGTACATTTAGAAATACTGTCATGTTAAAAGAGGGATTGTGCAAAGACATTGGGGGCATTTCAAGCAACAGGAGCACTGAGCTAATTTCTGAATGATGTTTTCTGGAGATTCTCAAACCGAGGAACAAGTACATCTGAGTTCAACAGTGAGCAGGGACTTCTGGAAGTAAAACACCTATTTTATTTTCTAATTTATCTTTTCAAAAAGTCAACATTGAGGTACTTTGTGACATATTTTTTGAAATATTGTCTTAGCTTTTATTGGTTACAAAGCCTGATGAAGACTGAGACCCAAAACAATTGAATAAAGGAAATAAAATTTAAAACATAATTACAAAATAAATATCTCAAAGCCACATAGAAAATAAATGTAGCTGTATTTTTGGTCAGTAGTAGTAGTTGTAGTACTAGAAGTTGCTGTTTATTTCCAGAGCCAGTAGTCCCCACCAAATGTTGACTGAGAGAAAAATTATATCCATGACCTCTGATTCTCTGATTGAGTCAAATGTTTTGCACGCCGGCTCAATGCTCCTCTCTTGTAAAGTGCCTCCATGCTACGTCTAGAAATAGGGCAAAAAAAACAAAAAGCAAGATGAAATATCCATTTTAGTTTTGAGGGATAAAAAAATAATAACAAAAAATCAAGTTAATTCCCTCAATTAACTCTGCGTTGGCTAATACTTGACGACCTAGGCAGCTACAGCACTGGCAGACACAAGCGGTGGTCGCCGTTAAGAGTGGCAAAAACAGTGTAACATGTTTCAAATCGTCAAAAGCAAAACGTAACGCCAACACAGTCAATTATTATAAAGAGGATCAATACATGGGGTTTTCTAGTCTCTAGGTAGTGGTTCTTTTAAATGTAACACCTCAAAATCAAAAACAATGTCCCAATTTGAGATAAAATGTCTTTAAACCACATCAAAGTGCATTATATAAGAGGGAGATGTAGGATAAATGACTATAGTGTCTGCATTGAAGGATTTCAAAGCAACAAAGGGAAATATTTGGCATTTAAGATAAAGAGACAGTACAGTGTTTTGTAAAATGGTTTTGTAAATTATTTTTAAATTAACAAATGGACAGAACAAAAGATCCAGACCCAGTTGGTGTGTTTTTACATTTCTTTTTATCTAGAAGCAGCAGTTTGCGGTAGCAGTAACTCAGAAGCAGAAAGTAAAATGTTCTGTATTATTGGCAGTGTAATTCAGAATAGCAGCCACTCACCCCATAATCTGCCTCAGGGCGACTGCGTGTCACCCCTCAAAGAAGAGACAAGTTGTAAATTTGGATGCATAAATATGTGTTTAATGTTCAATAAATACGCTACTTTTCTAGTGGGAGGATGCTATTTGCTTCCCACGTCTCTGCCTGGCCAAGAAGTGTGGCGTTCAGTGGACACCAACAGGCCATTTTCAAATACATATTGCATCAGAATTATTTAATGCAAACTACAATACAAGTTTTTATACCTTACTGTGGCATAAGGAGGAAAGTTACTGACAACACTGGAATCTCTCATTGCAAAGCTCACACAGTGCATCTTTGATACATTGCATTAAAAGCTTGTTTTATGCATATTTAGCAGCTATTTCAAGGGCATTTCCCTCATTTACTTTTCTAATAGTGACTGTTAAAGCTCGGGTACATATATTTCAAACTACTACAATTGTATTTTGTGATAAAAGCCACATAACTAGTTCCTGGCTCTAAAACAGTGTCGTTCAGTCACTAGTTTTCACATATTTTTGACCTCTGTCACATCTTTGAATCCGATTTTTCTGACAGAGTGCACCACCTACACCCAGCCAATCAGCTCTTAACCCAAATAGTCAAATGAGGACTCACAGGGCTCTTTCTTTCAACTATGCAGTAAAAAACATGTCTTCTAATGAGGTTAATGTTTTGGTTTTGTTCCCTACTTTTTACTTTCACAACACTCTTTCGGTTGGAAAAACTGCACATGTAATTGATGAAACAAAAAAAGTTGTGTACTCCAGCTTTAAATTAGATATTTTAAAGTATGTACATGTCTTTTTACAAAACACTGGACCATCTCTTCAAGAAATAAAGGTAAGCTATTTGTGCTTTAACTTTAGTGGCAATAAGGGGATTTGCAATTCACAATATTACTTCTTGTATACTCTTATATACAATACTAAAAAAAGCCAGCCTATCAAAGCTCTTCACTTTATATAAAAAGCAACAACAAACTTACACAGAAAGGCCCTTTGTCGAAAGGTTTTTCCTATTGCAAAAAAGTTGAACACTATTTAATCAGGGAGTACCATCAACACTGAGCACACCGACACACACACACACACACACACACACACACACACAGGCAGTGACTTGGACAAGTGGCAAAACTCATACAACGGATTTCAACTCATTACTTTTGCATTGCGGTCAAAACATTGTACAAAAACTCATTCAAGCGTTTCTACTAACAATACTGAGAGAAGTATTGTACGTTTCAAGTTAGAAATTAGTTATAAAAATGTGGTTAAAAAGAAGGATGCTCGTTTAGGATGTGAGTTAACATTGCTGCTAATCAGAGGTGGATAGCTTTTTTTGCTATATCCATATGAATGTCTTATGTAGGGATGCGTCAATACAGATTTCTTAAGTTCAGCCCTGATATTGATGGCTTTGCTTTCACTTTGCACAGGGTTTTTGTTATTACGGCATGGAGCTAACCTGGATGAAACAAATGCCCATATAAGGAAATTGGCTCCATGTACTGTAGCTTATGCTTAAATCAGCTTCTTTTGCATTCAGCAACAACACTATATGTGACATCACCACTCGGTCAATCCACACCTAATATTCAGTCTATGGTCAGCACCAGTTTTAGACAGTATTGTATTGATGCATCCCTAGTACTTTGTTTATGGTGAGCTTCTAGTTATCAATATTCTCAGTTCTAAAAATCTTATATCAAAATAAATTCCACATTTTCCCTTTAATGCAATGAAATACTGTTAACTCGCCAAGTCCCTTTTTACTTCAACACAAGAGATTACATTTTGGCTGAACTACCCACCTCTGATGATAAATATTTTCAAGCGCCAAACCTAGCGCAATAACTTGTGAGTTTGATCTATCGAACACAGTAACAGCAATAGGAGCCTCCAAAAAGGCCATAAATACTATAAGCTCTGGTGAGACTTTGGCACATGAACTGCACATCTGAAGCAAAGTCAAAGTTACTGTAAAAATGTGTATAGTGAGGATATATCATCAGTAAATAGTGGCCCTTTATGTAACAGAGAACACCGGTAAAGTTGTAACACTGACAACTACTTTTGGCATCAAGCTATCGAGAACTAAAAGTGTGTGTTATACCCTGCTTCTACTGTAGGTGTCGCTGTACAGTCTAAATGTACTGGAACACCCATACAAAAGTCACAAAGAGTTACATGTGGTGAATAATAAGTCTTAGCTACATTCATTATAGCTACTCTCAAAACACTAGCCTTAGCTTTTTAGTTGTACACAGTGTGCTTTAAGCTGTAGGAGGCAATAAGAACTTCTATAAAATGAATCTGAGTCTATATAAAAAATGTGACAAAGTAAAGGGTTAAAAACTGAGCTGAGTTTGAGGAGAAGAATCCAACTAAATTCACAGCAATTTTCCAACTTTCAACGACAAACACAAGCACGTTTTTCAACAATCGCATACACGCCACTGCACGCCACCATCACGCTCCTCCGTCTATAGAGTAACAATAAATGTAGGATTTCACAGAAATAATAATAAAATGTTAACAAAACAAAGTGCAAACACAGCTGCCATTATTGAAATGTGGCAATTTGTCAAAAACCTCAAATAACCTCCGAGGCCGTAGCACAAAACTTACAAAATTGTTTTTGTAGTGTGTAAAAAACAACATCACCACCCAACAACATCGAAACATCAACTTGACAACATGTAGCTTGTGTTAGAGTTCAGATTTCCACAGGAAACTAGTTTTTGCCGGAGCTGCATTCACACAGGTTTGGAGTAACCAAAGATCCCCACAGGGAAGTGCTTCACGTGTGTGGGCCACTGCGCCGCCAGCTGGAAAAACTTCACATCGTTCCACTCCACGCCGTCAATAGTAACTGAAACACACACATTCAGAGTCAGAAATATTCATAATCCCGACACAGAGCTGTATTCACAGAGCAAAAGTCTCTGGATCACTAAAATACAAAATAGTGCAAATATAGTGATTTCTTGTGTGGAGAGGACATCCAGGTCTAGTTCTGGCTGCACTGTGAACAAAGGCCACGTTTGGTTCTGAGGAGCAGGGGGCAGTGTGGCTCCACGTACCTCTCAACATGGTGTGCTGGTGTTTGGCCGTGCAGATCAGGCGGCTGATGCCATCGATCACTTGGCTCTTAGAGTCCAGCTCTTTCTCCTTCGGCTTCTTACTCAGGAATATCACTATGAGGAGGAACAGGACATCAATCAGTAAAACTTAACTTGGTTCCAGCCTCACTGATTACTGATGCAATCCACCTGCTGAAGTTTAGCACCACTACATACTTTAATGCATGGGTCAGCACTAGATCATATACAGAATCGGGGCGGAAGTAAATACAACCCACTACCTATTCATGCCTAAACTTAACCAGCCATTCCCATAAAATAATTCCAACCCAGCCTTAACCCTAACCTTAACTATCTAACTCAGACACCTAAAACTTAACCAGTCACCACTTAAGGACTTTATAGTCTAAAACTAATTCGAAAGTGGGATTGTTACTTCCGGTTTCGTCCCGATTCCGTATATGATCTAGTGCCGACCTTAACTCATTGACTGCCAGCCCATTTCAGAACAGGTACTTCCATATTGCCAGCCGTTTCTGATGGTTTTTACTGATTTTTAAAGACCCACAGAATATTGTGTACTATGACTATCTGAAATCCGACACCAGATTCTAAAAGAATGGACTGTCTACTTTCCTCAGCAAAAAGAATTTTGTTTATAGCTTTTTTCGTTCCCCTGTAATCCTCCGTCGAGTAGAGGGAAGTTTTACTGAAATCACCAGAAAGTTGAGAAAAAATAGGCACAACATGTGCACCTAACTGTTTTCAAACCATTCAGAGAGCAATGCTGCCACCTGCTGGCTCGATAAAATATGGTCTCAAGTCATCCCCATACATATTAGATACAATAGAAATCTGGGAACGTGAAAATAGCGGAAAAGGCAATTGACGTGTTAATGCGTCAATGGCACACTTTCAAACCACAAAATGATGGCACTATGTAATCGATTCCATCCAAGTGTGAGGAACTTGGATAGAACAGTTTGGCTCTAGTGCTAGTATCTGGATTCTTAAGAACAACTTTCTCAGAGAGCTGAGTGAAAAGACTCAATCAGCTCTCAGCCCAAAGGGTCAAAACATTTTACTTGAAAACATGTTATGAAACAGTACTAGCTAAGTATTTTAAACCACTTTCCCGAATCTTCATTACTGCCATAAAGTAAGGAGGATGAAATAATATATAGTAAAAATGTCTTTCTTTTAAGATTATTGTACTCAAAGTCTGGGTTGTCATAAAAGGTACAATACAGACTCAATGATATGCTGACCCTGCTCTATATTCATCCCCAGCACATACAGTGTGTAATGTTTAAATGGATTTTCTGGTGTACGGTTGTGTGCTCACCTTTCTTGTTCTTCTCCTTGGTCACCACGGTCATGGCCATGCTGGGGGGAGGGGTGAGCTCGCCTCCACATGGCAGGCGGCTCACCTGCAGAGACCTAAAGTTGCTCTTCAGAGTGTTTTTCAGCCCCACGTCCCTCTTCTCCCCCTCCTTCTTCTTCTCCGGACCCTGCCACGTCCAGTAGTCCACCTGCAGACCCATCACCTCGCTGCCCGAGCACGGAGAGCTGACAGAGGACAGAGAAATGTAGAATTAAAACTTTTTGTGTCTAGTGTTAGATTTAGTGTCTATGGACCATATGTGTGAAATAATAATAACTTAATCATAATAATAATCAGAAAAAAGCCTCTTCAAAAGCAATGCAATCCCTAAATCTCGCAGTACAGTGTGGAAACCGTGCAGCCATTGTTTAGACATACTTTAGCCCCAGAAAGGTCCTGTTTGAGACCTGGATTGGATTCGGTGGAACTCAGAAGGCCAAATAAATATAGTGGCCTGGTATTATCTCAGGTGGTACTTGGTGTGAAAGGTCGAAAAGCACTGCTCTAAATCTTTCCATCTGTTTTAAGAAAAAAAATAAGCAACGAATGTGGTTTTTCACAACAAGCCACATTTTACACTTTTAAAAAAGTTTTGGTTTTTGCTCCATAATTCCTACAAATATTTACATTCACGATGTGTGTTGTATGTATACATGAAGACTCAATGCAACAATTACATGGGTTAAAGTTGAAAAAATTCCTGAGCCTGAACCATCTATATGAATCATAGAATGATCACTAATAAGCGTTTTTTATAAGCGCCTTTATACGCTCATACATATAATTTATATCTATTTATTGCCAACAACTGATGTTTATTATAAATTGTTGGCAATAAATACATCATCTGACTATTGAATTGTTACTTAAATGTAAAGCCTCACCTTGCCAAGACCTTTCTGCAAGTACCCCTAGTTTGGATTTGTGTGATAATGTAAAAAAAAAAAAAAACATACCACATCACAGTAAGTGAATATACTATTTTCTTTTTTTTAATTATTATTGATGTTATTACTAACATTTTATGTGTAAACTGTAAACTGATTAAACATCCAAACTAGACATCAGATATGACATACAAAAACTAAAAACACTGGATCAGGCAACAAGAACACTTCCAGATTCAACCTTAAATATATAAATAAACCTTAACTTTTAAATTCTACTTATTAAACATTTAGCTTTCAACACAAATAAATGAAACTAAAGTGCAAATGAGCTTTGTGCTGTGTGTCTTCATAAAGCACCTGTGTTAACTTTCAATAGACTTTGATTTGGTAAAACATTACAAAACAACACAAATGCTAACAGTACTGTTTGAAATATTCATTTCTTTTTCTTTTGTTTAGGGTGTGAATTATCTGTATGCTTTCTTTTTAACATGTTGGGCGGAGGGTTTAATGAGGAGGCTACTTTGTCTGAACAATTAAATAGAGGGAAAAAACCGCATGGTCCAGAGGAGGAAGCAGCTGGTGCAGAGGAGAGTTGTCTGGCTGGTCCAGAGGAGGAGGCAGCTGGTGCAGAGGAGAGTTGTCTGGCTGGTCCAGAGGAGGAGGCAGCTGGTGCAGAGGAGAGTTGTCTGGCTGGTCCAGAGGAGGAGGCAGCTGGTGCAGAGGAGAGTTGTCTGGCTGGTCCAGAGGAGTGGGCAGCTGGTGCAGAGGAGGAGGCAGCTGGTGCAGAGGAGAGTTGTCTGGCTGGTGCGGTGGGGCTGCAGCCTTTTTTATCATCTCTCTCTGCACCAGCTGCCTCCTCCTCTGGACCAGCCAGACAACTCTCCTCTGCACCAGCTGCCTCCTCCTCTGGACCAGCCAGACAACTCTCCTCTGCACCAGCTGCTTCCTCCTCTGGACCATGCGGTTTTTTCCCTCTATTTAATTGTTCAGACAAAGTAGCCTCCTCATTAAACCCTCCGCCCAACATGTTAAAAAGGACATTCAAAATTCTGTCCACATTTGTTTGTGGACACTCAATGTTTAAGAAAAAGGTTTCCCTATCAACTTGGTGCTAGTGCACAGCGCAGTTTTATCAACTGCAAATGATTAATGATAATTAAATCTACCAGCGGTAGTGATGGTTCTGAACGACAGGTTATTTTCTGCGATAAAGCCACAGATAGTTTTAGGTCACAGACACAGTCCACCAGAGCAAGCCTAGTCTCAGTTGTCGCTGAATCTGATGCACCAGGTAAAGAAGTGTGGGAAAGTGCACGGACAGCTGCCAAGTGCGCAGTTTTGAGCTGGTGGTGAATCCAAAGCTGTTTGATTTGTTTTCTCATTACTCCCATATAAAAAAATAATAATAGCGAAGTACGAACAAGCACCGGACACCTTCATCTTTTTGCACCATGAAGCAACAGAATCCCATCGTCTCCACCTCATCCAGCCATGCCCACCTCCATTTATTTTTCACTCCGTTATCAACAGCAACTTATACAGCTCCTTCTTCCATAAACAACGATCCATGATTGTGATTGTGCGTGAATGCTAGGCTAGCTTTGATGAATGAATATAAGACCTGCTAACACACACCTTTCTTCTGCGAGTTTCTTCCGTCCGCTCTCGTTGATTTGCTTTTTTATCACGCAGTTTTGCATGGGGATCGCCACCAAGATATTATCAAAAGCTCACCAAGACATGCTTGTCCCCATTCCCAGTCACAGCAAAGTACATATTGTACATTCCGTTAAATAAAAAAGCATTGCGTTTGGTAAACGTTAATTATGTCCTACCTTTCCTCTGATAACGCGCCCAGTTTACCGGTCCGCGGGCTGCTGGCTGTTATTGCTCCGTTCGGGATTACATTTTCCTTGTCCTCTTCTCCTTTTCAAAAGCTCCGTGCACTTTTCAGAAACTTTCACCTCCGTGTTACCATCGCTAACTTGGCTACGTCCCATTGCCTTGAATCATTTACGGAGCGCTCATGTAGCTAGCCACGGCACGTTCAAGGCCCACTCGTGATTATATTACTTTTTATTTCTATATACATATAAATACAATTATATTCAAATTATTAATATATATCTAGATATATACAACAGATTCACACGTATTACTATATATTTTGTTATAATTAACCATTTCATTGTGTGTATTATATTATTATTATTATATATTTGTTTTTTTTTCAGACCAATTTCATTTGACGGAAATCCGTCACTTAGACGGAACTCTTTAATCCCTGCGCTATACACATGCAATCCTTTCATACAATTGGTAGAACACACTTGAACCTTTTTCAAATGACAGCAATCATTATTTATTTATATATATATAAAAAAAAAAAAAAAGTGATTTTTTTTTTTTTTTTTTTCTCACGCCGGATTTCCGGCACGGTGCCGGAAAACTTTAAGCCCTGCAATTATTTTTGTAATTAATTCCAGGAGTGATCTTTTTTGTGGCTTAGTCGGAAAGTCAAAATATAATTTTTATTGTTTATTAGGACCATTTAACAACAAATAATGCCTGAAATATGGCAACAGAAAGCAAAAACTTTTACAAGACTCTTTGTGTTGGGGCAAACTACAAGTGTAAGATAAGATTTTAGCTACCCTTTCTTAAAATCTCAATATTGATCTTAAAGAGAGGAGTCTGCACACTTTTGTATACAGTCCAGCCATATCTCTCTGCACTCTGCCCCTTAGGGAAAACGCAGTCTCATCACAGAAAATAAAGAGGGCAAACTATTACAGCCCCGAACCTACAGAACTAAAAGCTTATCAACTTATAATGATTGATAAGTTATTGTTTTGTTAAAGGCTTACCCAGCTCCTGACAGGGCAGTGGAGACGGAGGGGGACTGGGGGGGAGTGCTGCCGATCTCTTTCCCGTAGGGTCCGGCTGTGGGGGGAGTGGGGGAGGACAGGATGCTCGTGTTGCCGCCCATTGCGTCATCCGAATCCACTGCAAACATAACACCAAAGCAATTACTCACCTGCTACTGTACATAACAATGAGGACAGGCTGAATGAAACGCAAAGTCAAAGTTAATGAATTCTTCTCTTCTTCGGTGCAGCCATTAACTGTAGGATTAATACATTTCTATGCCTTTTCTACCACTCGTTTTTGTATATAGGTCCCACCCCATCATGATTTAGGTTAATTTCCTGTTTTATTTCTTATTTTCCGGATTCTTGCATCTAAAGTCTAGAATAGTCTTCCTGAAAATGTAAGACAGCCTTCTTCTCTGTTGTTTCGCTGTGCAGACAACTAAGGGATTTTATCTTTACTCTTTTGAATATACTGTGATTATTTATGATGTTTCGATCTTGTTTTGTTCAGCACTGTGAGTTGCCTTGTGTATGGATTGTGTCATACAAATAAACTTGCCTTGCCTTAACCCCTGTCTCTATAGTTTGACTTCCTGCCCTGCCCTTATGTCTATCACCTGTGCCTCGTCAGTCTTTCTTCACTGCCTGTTCTGTCATGGTCATTGTCACGTCTCTTTTTGGTATTTAGTCTTCACCCCTGTTTGGTTCCGTTTTTTACTCTGGATTTTGCGTTTGTATTTACTTTGAATAATAATCAATGAACTTGTATTTGTAGAGCACCTTTCCTACACAAGGCAACAAAAAGTGCCTCACAACCCATATCACATCTGGCATAAATCATAAACATTAAAAACTACAAAACATGAAATAATATTATAAAAAACAAACAAAATAAATGTTGTTTTTTAAATATTAAAAACATAGAAAATAAAAAACTAAAGTAATTAAAAACATTAAAACATTAAAATCACACATGGGGTTAAAATCCTAAATAGCCGCAGTGCATTAAAAAGAGTAAAGATAAAATACTTCTGTTTGGAGATTAAATCAATTATTTAGCATTTTGGGTTTATTTCCTTTGGAACTGGGGCACATCCTTTATCACATAAATACTATAAATTCACCTACACAGAATGTATATATGTCATTTATACCCATTTAACTACATAACCAATCATTGTAAGACATGATAAACTCAGTGTAAGAAACGGTTCCTGAGCTAGAGGAGTGTATTTTTCATTTTCATTGCAAGTCAAGTGGAGCCAGATCGAGTTGGAGCCAAACGTTGTCCCTGAGCACTTCCCTATTGGGGCTAGCATTGTCCATCTATATACAGTCTACGATTTCTTTTACACGCTGTATGAAAACCTCCTGTGTATGTTGCAGCCTGACATTGTTCAGTGAAGCATTTTGAGGTACTTTGTGTATCAAATGTGCTTTACAAAAAAAAAACATGCACACAAAATTAATCGAACTAACGATCAATTATATTTTTGAAGAGCCCTTGATAATAACCATTATAATTTTATGAACGGCAGAATGTTAAAAACTGATGAAGTTATCAGTGCTAAAGAAGGCCATTTTGTATATTTCCGCAAGCTTGACAAACATTGATTTGACTAAATACACGTCTGCAATTTCACAGCAGTCAACACAATTACGACGTTCATGGTTGGATTAATCTGATCTTGACGGTGTAATGAATTTTTCCAAATTGACGTTTGCTCAGAACTGCTGCATTACGTGATAAGCGCATAAAAAGGCTTAACCGATCATTCTAAATGCTCGGTAATAGCGTTAATCTGCCCCCAAAATGCACTCTCTCACCTGACGTTGACATACTCTGCTCCACAATTCCTACTTTCACAACCTGCGAATAAAAAAGTACATAACATTAACATACATTTATAAAAAATAGGAGCTAAAATGTGTTGAGATTTTGATGATTTACCCCAATAAATGGCACAAATTTCTGACAGGAGTCCTCATCCGGGCTGTGGGAGAAAATATTGACATTTTAGAGGCTTTTTCGCCTTTTTTCTTAATATATTTGAATTAATTGCAGTTTTGATATTTGTACATTTCCAGAGGTGCACACATAGAGTCATACATGGCTTTGGTATGGGCGTGTCACCATGGCTCAGTATGGCACATGACTGGCATGGTGACGATGGTGGCGTCTTTGGGGGAGTTCAAAATGAGATGGATGGGAGAACTGCTCCTTACAACCAAAACAATATGAACAGCTAGAGATAAGTGGTCAAATGTGTTACCTCACCGAAAAAATATACAGGTTTTGTCTAAAAGTTCACACTGCATAACTAATATGAATGTGTTTTTTTTCTTTAATTCAACAAATCTACTGGGTTAAAGAAGAACAATAGGAGAATAAATACTAAAACTTGCCAAAATAATACCAGAAACAAGAAAAAAAAGCAGAAACAATTGCTGTTCCTATCTCATAAAAGGTTCTAGCCAATTTGGATGTTTTAACTTTTTCCACTTTAAATATTCTTGTTTATTCTTTCAATATTGCTAGTTTTAATCAAGCAAATTTGGTGCTTTCCAATCCCATAAATTGTCATGTTTTCTTAGATATAATATTGCTCTCCTTTTTTTCTTCTTTAAATAACAAAAAGTGGCGCTAATATGCCATAGATTGCCGTACATTTGGCTTTTTTCACAGCAAAGCAAAAACTGTGATATTGTAAAAAGAAACAGTGTAATAAGTCAAAATTACTTTACAATAGATAGAAAAGTAGAAAAACAGAAAAAGCACAGTTTAACAATGACATGGCAGGATTAGTTCATTGAAATAAAAACAAGCTGAAGTAATTTAATCAAAAACAAGACTAGAAAACAAAAGAACTGGATGCGATCCAGCCAAACACAACTGTATATAATGTACTTGTTGTGCGCCTCTTTTCTTGTCTTGCATTTTCCCTCCAAGATCTACTCCAAAGTCAAAAGCCAAGTGGCAGTTTTGTAACGGCTTCATCGTGGCAGATCTGGGACCACCCACAGCAAACACAGAAGGAACACAAACAGTGCGGCTCCAGCGCAGAGAAAATCAATCTCACTTGAGTCATTGTGGGGAGATTCACACAGGGAAAGTACCAGGCGCTTTTGTGTTCAGATATTGCACATTATTGGACTGGTATTTAGAGCCAGAAGCAGCAGCAGCAGCAGCAGCAGCAGCATTATACTGTACTACTCTACTAGCAGTGCTCCTAACAAAAACACTGGGAGGCTTTGAAGTAGGATTGTGTATCGTGTCATATTGTCCGCGGTGTGGAAACTAGCTGCTGTCTAGAAAAGTGATGAAAAGATGTTTAAAAGTTGAACTAAAAAAACACATTGTCAAATAAGATTGATTGTTTCTTTTTGATGCAAATGAATAGTTTGCTTTTTATGTCTAAGTTCAGTTCAAGTGCAAACAGTATTCATAAAAAGACACATTTTATGGAATCAAAAAGAACCTCTTAAAGATAAAACATGATGCTTTAAGCTGCTGCATGATGAGTTATGGTTATTCAAAGGTGGAGAGAGCTGAGGGATAACGCAACTTAGAGCCCTGCACGGGCCTATTATCTGGGCCCGAGCCCGGCCCTGGCCCGAAGGGGTGGAGCCCCAGCCCGGCCCGGCCCGATATGGTTTCTGAATTTTCAGGCCCGAAACCCGCATCAAGCCCGACTTTTTTTTTTTTTTGTAACATCCCATAACAATGTTTTAGCGTAGTATATAGTGCCGCGCACTGATATGAACGCAGACTTAGCTAGAGGGCGGAGTTATACATGGTAGTGATGTGTTGCAATGAGTTCTGTGTGTGCGGAGTGGTGCAGAGTGAACGGCCACATCTGTATGATGCCCAGATGCTGCAACACACCTGTAAGTAACGCTATGTGCCGTCAATGACAACACTACACAGAACAACAAACTCTACAGCGTGATAGAACGCTATATTCAGTGGGTGCGTTCGTAAATGTATTCTGCCGCTCTGAAAATGAAGAGCCCGAGCCCGGCCCGTGTCCGAGGTCATTATGCGGTCATCGGCCCGAGGCCCGGCCCACGGGCTGTCGGGCCGTCGGGGCCCTCGGGCCAAGGGCTCAAGTGCAGGGCTCTAACGCAACTTCCCCCTCCCCAGACACTTTTCAATGTCAAAGAACTTCTCAAACTTGGAGAATGTTCTAAAATAAGCAATGGTGTAGGTTTGGTTCCAATCTTGGTGGGGACATTCACTACGACCCGAGTCTACACCCATTGACACGGGGTTCAGAGTTTCTCCCCCAGAATTTGTTGTGTAATCACACACTATGTTTGCAATAGTGTGTTGCCTTCTACACTAAACTCAGCTGTAGACTGAATGAGAAGCAGTTAAGGATTTTTTCTAATAGTTAAAACAAAATCAATTGGATCAGAGCTTCTGAGTTTTGTGTTGCGTTCATTCTAACTTTGTCCACAAGATGGCTTAAATGTTTATAGTAAATAAGATAGTAAATATATCCTGTATTCAGGATCAGGCTGATATGGTTTACAACCTATCTCAAATATGCTGTCCCTGGCACTTTCTTGAGAGTGACTCTCATTGGCTGCCTCCTAAATAGCAAATACACTGTTATGAAACTTTAAAAAATCCCATATTTTATCTTCATAATTCCAGCCTCACCTGAAGCCCAGCTTCGATATCTGCCTGCACTACATCTTCCCTGAATACCTGAGTTCCCTATAATAAATAAAACACATGTAGTGCATTAAACAAATCAGATCTAAGCATATACAAAATAAAACCACCAACAAAACCAAATAAATACTTTCAACCTCACCTGAAGCCCTGAAGGTCCAGCCACTTCCTCATCCTCTACCAGCACTGCACATTCCCTGTTTGTCTGACTTTCCTTTATGGTATTAATAAAAACACACATTCTACATTGAATAAAATGAAACCTAGGCATGGTACACCAGTCGCTAAATATCTCATGAAACTAGAATTGGTTGATGGGTCTAAGATTTTAACTGCTTAATCCTAACCTCACCTGGAGTCCTGTCTTGTCCTTGTCTTTATCTCCTTCTTGAATTTCCATTATATCTCTCAGAGTGTCCTATATTTAGTAAAAGATTTCAGACAACACTTTTTGCATCATTATAGTAGTAAAATATGTTGTAATTGGCATAGGTAATTTCCAACCAAATGATGTTCTTTAACTTTAGTATGATTCTATACTGACTTAAACCTAATCCAAATCTACATAATAGCCCTCACCTGAGGCTCTAACAGTTCAGGAACTGCTCTCGATACTTGAAATAAATCATGCTCTGATCTTTCAATTTCCTATAATAAAGAAAAACAGAGGAGAAAATATTGAATTAGAATCTACAGTGAGTAGCTCACTACATTGTTTGACATATACGATCAATCTCTAAAAACAATTCATAGTCCCATGCATACCTACAAAATTCCAACCTCACCTGCTGCACTGAAGGGCCTGTTGCTTCTACCTCAACATTCCCTATATTGTTCTCTCTTGGTGGTTGAGTTTCCTATGTATGTTAACAGAAGATTAATCATCACAATTCATAATTTGCTATTACTTGTGCTTTCTCTTACTTACTTTCCAACTGTTAAAAAAGCTCTTGATATCTTTTATCTTTTTTTGTGGAGGTGGCATTTTTTCTAAATTATATAAGAAGGTATAGACAATCAAAAACAGACATTCATATACATGAACTGCAGAATCATTTATATAACTTGGCCAATGTCAAAAGTTACATAGTATTTCTCAATACAATGAGTTAACAAGAGTTTGGCAATAAGTAACAGTGTGGATTTTTCTATATATATTTTTTTTTATTCCACTCTCAACCCAAAAAGGCAAGTAATGACTCACAGGGCTCTCAAGTATGCAAAATAAAAACTTAAATGACCTGTTGTGGTGTGTTTTGCGCACAACCAGCATGCATCGTTAACGCAATGGAAAATTTACGTATCCGAGCTTTAATTTCGGGAGCGCTGGTTGCGCTTTGGGAAGAGTCAGGGGAGAGACATGTCAGAGACACAGGGGAGAAACGGGGGAGATACGAGGGAGACCCGCACTTGCAACATGGTTCTGTCTGCATATGGTCCGAGCTCGGTACCATGTTAGAGCTGTGATTTCACTGAGCGCCGCGGCTGTCATTACAAAGCGGCAGCAGCTGCACCAGGACGTGCACATTCGAGTGCATCTCTTGAATGTGCTTAGAGCAAATAACAGCAAGTGCCCGCTGTCACACATTTCACAGAAATTACATTATCAGCAGATAAAGGTTGTAAATCGTGGATCCGTGGAATATTTTCATCCCTAGTTTATCCTGATTCACACAACACACCCACTTATACATTTTGAATAGTAAGAGCACAATAAGTATTTTCTCAGCCTTTCAACCAACCTGTTTCTTTATTGGAGCCAGTTCTGTTCTGTCTCTGTGCCGTGTGAGCTCCTCGGGACATTAAACAGTGCGCTGACAGATTAGAAATAACGTAAGTACTTTGAATGGTAATAGATCTACAGTACTTTCCTCTGATTACTCACGTGCTACAACGCTCAGGGAACGAAAAAAAAACACTTGCTTCACGCTGGCTAACTTTTAAAAATTAAACAGTCGCTCAGTGCTTCAGTTTGGCGCTGAAGAAGACAGCCAATCACTGCAGAGAACGGAACGGGTCACGTGCTGCTGCTGCTGCTGCTGCTGCTGTTGCTCTGGAGGCGAGGAGGAGGCGCGACGTGTGCACAAACGGAAGACATGTGTCCCGGACCGTCCGGGTCACGGGACATCATGTCATTTGATGATGTGGGGACTTTTTAGTCTTCACCAAATATTGGTGGGGACATGTCCCCATGGTCCCCACGCAAACCTACGCCCTTGAAAATAAGGGTTATTGAAAACAGATGAAAGCAACAACACCTGTTCACAAGCAGCAGCTCTACTTCGAGGTTCACGGCTAAGTTAAAAACATGTT